TTTATATGGTTGAATAGTGAAATGGGGTATGTTGGAAAGGCTATTGGTTTATTTTGGGTATTTTCAATAATTTCCCTGCATGGGAATGACCATACGATTCTTAATGCTTTATACTTACCATCAATTTTAATTCCAATAGCCTTCAATTCAAAGATGATCACATTTTGAACACTCATTACGAATTGTCAGAGATTTCACTAAATAAAAAATTGTTACAATCATATAGAATTTACCCACACAAAGACCAATTTTTAGGAAAAATAATATCACACCCACCATTTTTTAATCTTTCAACAACCATCAAGAAAACAAGAAAAACATACATACATACATACATACACACACACACAAAACTCCCTAGTCTCATTCACGTAAACAAAAGGGAAAGAAGTTACGTGCGTACATACTAACAAATTAACCTAATTTTTTCTTCATGAAGTTCAAGTGCACTAGCCCAAGGCATACTTCTGAGTCCAACTCCTTGCAATGGCTTGATACTTCTTCTTGTTTGTCCTGTACAGGTAAGCAATCTCAGGCACCAAAGGATCATCAACGACTGGATCCGCCAACAAAGCTGAAATAATAAGTAACACCTAAAATTGGAAGACCAAACAATTCAGCACCATTAGAAACTTGAATTAGCGAGCCATTGCAATTGAAGTAGCAATTTATTCAGTGTAAGCAAAACATAAAAACATCTTTTGGGATATTGGATCCCTTATCTCAGCAACCAGATCAACAAGTTTTCAAGATTGTGGAATCTTTTAATCTATACACTAGAAGGTTCCTTCCATGTTGACCTTAAAAAGTACATTAGAAAAAGTAAGTTGAGATTGAGGAAAAAGGGAGAGAAGAAAATGAAGATTAGTGGTGTTAGAAAGCTTGCAGGTTTATATGTCAAGAATTTAGGGAAGTTTGAAGAAAAAGTGAATAATAATTCAAGTACTCATTCACATATTTCCTATTTTTATCATAGAACTTCATTGCAGAAGAGTGAAAACGAGCCCAAGCAAGCCAAGTAGAAATGGAACTATTATTTTTGGTATTACAATAAAAACGAGCCCAATGGTCTAAAGGAGACTATCAATGCAATTGGAACTAAAGTTTTGGGCATTAATGTTCTAACTTATTTCATTATGTAAGGGGCAGATATTAACTTATTTCATTATGCAAGTGGATCCAAATGCACAATTTCAACAGGTTGGGAACCCACGCAAGAATTTTCTCTTATTTTCAAGTAAGAAGTTCAGTACATACGCAAATTCAGTAAGGCCCACCAACACCAAAGATTTAGAAAACAAACCTTGGAAATGGTGTGCGCAGGTTGGAAGTCCTCGAACATTGCAGGGCATATGGTTCCATTTATGTTTATATTTGGGTGGAAAATTTTTGTTGTAAAAGCAATCTGCAAAATTCATTGAAATGGAAACTTCCATTATTTAAAAAACGAGTTGCAATGGATAATATTTGTTATGTTTAAAATATAAAAGAATGGAAAGTCAAAATACAGGACAGACCTTAAGCATCTCAAAAGGGTAACCCTGTGGAAAATGGATGTTAAGTAGGAAAATTCCACCGGCATATGGACTGTCCACAGGACCGATGATAGTAGCTTGCCAATGGAACAAGTCCCTGCCTACAGGACCTGAAATTTTTGTGCAGAAATAAATGAAACTTATGATGCATTACAGATGATAACCAAAAGGTAAAACTTATAAGTATACTCGTGAACAGATTTAAAGCAAATTCAACTCAATAAAATTGAGGAAATATCACATAAAACCAATAAAAATGAGTATAATTCTTGCAAGTCCCATCAGACACCACAACTTTACTGTGAAAATAAAGCTCCGAATAAAGAATTTCTTAACACATTAAACCAAATTAAGTAATATACCAGCACTGATACAGGCAGGAGGATCCCTCTGAATATCCTTGAGCTCGTTCAAGATCCGTTTTGCACTCGGCAATCCCTGTGGTTCAATCACAAAAAAAAAAAAAACCCAGATCCACCTCAAAAACATGTAGCATTTTAAATTTCTGAAAAAAAATAAAAAATAAAAAAATTGAAGCCTATCAAATCAATTCCACAAGAATCTGCATACATAGACTAAGAGTCTGAAATTTTACCATATAAAATTTTGATTCTCCTGCTGGCTTTTGGTAGATGGGGTGATCTAAGGAGAAGGAATATAAGCCAATATTAATTTTTACATTTTGAATGAAGGAATTGTAATCTAAAATTTAAAAAGAAATCTAGTTATTCCTAAACCCTATATTCATCTTTAGTGCTGGAGGAGGCTATGTAAGAACTGTTACTTGAATCTAATTTTGAATTCCTTCTTCCATTTTCAACATTTTGTTCTTCTCTTGGCAAACTCAAGGATAGTTCGTCAAAATCCAATGATATGGAAATGGAACTGGAGCTTGTGCTTCTTGAATCGGCTCGGGCCACTTCCCGATCCCGCTCTCGCTGCAGCACAGCTCCCACCAACCTATCCCAGTTGTCATAATTCCTAGACATCTCTGTTTCAGCTCTAACAACTCCAAAATAAACTCAATGTTCAACTATGGATATTGATTGCCTGTACACATGCAAAATTTATACATGTGCAGACATACTTTTCACATTCCAAACATGGAACAAGAACCTTTTCGTAATCTTTGGTTTATATAGTTCCAGAAAACAAAATATAGACGATGTGGGGCAGCACACAATTTACAGCTCACAATTTCTTGATTGAAAGTAAAAGTAAGATAATAGTGTGGAGAAATCAATATATATTTTTTTGTTTTGAAAGCGGAGAAATCAATATAGTTGATGACTTGATGTATGAGTAAATAATAAATTAGAGTGTCTTAGTCTGGATGAGCAATACAAAGAAATTTTGAAGTCATTTTCACATAA